AACTTAAGTATTAGGGGGTCGATAATAACGAACTTGAATCGATTATTCAAAAATCGATATAGCGGGCCTAATATATGGCATCTATATTTGCAAAAAATGTTTTGATCGCACTCTAAATTGATTTCGAGTATTTGTAAGATCGCTGATAACGAATTAAATATTGATTCTTAAAAAATCTGAATGGCGGATCCAGTAAGTTTTCACAAAAATTGTCGACTGCGCTCAAATTCCAGCTTTATACGTTATAATATATATAGAATATAATTTATGTATTACTGTATAATGTGGCATAATTGCCAAACTCGCAGTTAGCTTCAGCCAAAATTGAAATATTTCTTAACTGCGTGTCTGTTAAAGATCATACTATTCAAAATAGAGCTGATTCACTGTCAATTACATATTGTTGTCGTATAATTTCATGTGTCGATTGGCGAGTAATAATATGCAAATCACAATAACTATACATACCTTCGATTCAGCAATCCATTTTGCTACATCTCAATACAGCTCATTGTTCTAAAACGTGGTACTATTCGATGGTATACATTTTTTGTACTTATGACCAGGTTGTTTGGATTCTGAACCATGCCTAAGCATCTCCACGACGACACAGACAGGGTGCAAGAAAAATTCCTCCTTCAGGCACAAGCTGATCATTATAGCAAAAGCAAAAATCAAATCTATGCCCCTTCTAGTTTACACCGGTTAGGTAACTTAGCTAATACACTACGAGGGATGTCTTTTAAGTTTTGCATATGGAAATAAAACAACACGGTAGGTAGTTTTAAATGACTTTATTGTTTAGAAGTACTTATTCCACTCGTTCGCTGGCAGATCGAAAACGGCATTTTTGTATGCGTCAACTGCTTGTTCTGGTGACTGGAACCTTTGACCACGCAGTCTGTTTTTAATTTTCGGGAAAGTAAAGAAATCTTTAGGACTTAGATCGGGATCATATGGAGGATCGTCCAATAATTCCACATTTTCTTCCGTTAAATACTGCCTTGTTTTTTGGGCTGTGTGCGAGCTTGCATTGTCTGGAGGATGACTCTTCTTTCGGGGTTGATTTTTCGAAGCTCGGTGATGACTTTTGGCAAACAAATGGAGGTATACCAATCCGCAGTAACAGTTCTTTGCTCATTAAGAGGAATTGTTGCAATATGACCCGCTTTTGACACAAATGTTGCGACCATCTTTTTCGAAACACTTCGAGAACGGATGGCCTTTGTTGGCATTTCTTCACCTTGGAACACCCAAACAGCCGACTGTCCATTATTTTCTGGTTCATAATAGTAAATCCACGATTCATCACCACTAACAATGCTGTACACATTTTTTGAATTTCCGGAATTGAAACGGTCAAGCGTTGTTTGACACCAATTAACCCTGGCTGCTTTCTGCTCTTCAATCAACAGTTGAGGTATCCAACGAGAAACTAATTTTCTTACTCCTGATTCTTCATGTAAAATTTTTTGAATTGAGGTCTTATGAGTTTGCGCACAGCATCGACTTTTTTCTGGGTGACTGCCGTTTTTGGTGCACCCACCCTTGGATCGTCGCTAAGGCCCGTATCGTCAGTCGTCCCTACAATTGTAGGGCGCCTTTATGGCCTCCTTGATTGTCATAGCTTTTTACTTCTCCGTGTCAGAACTCTATTTTGAGGTTATGTCACAAGCATCTATTTGCATCAAATTGTGCTTGCTTTTGAGATATATCATGTTTTATCAGCCTGAAATTTCCTACAATTTAAAAAGAAAACATATCTTCACAATAGGAGAGCGCTGACGCTGACACGAGACAAGTGTAATCTAGAAATTTTTGAAGGAAAGAAACTAGTATGACAATCAAGGAGGCCATAAACGCGCCCTACAATTGTAGGGACGACTGACGACACGGGCCTAAGGCGCGATGCACACTGAACGGACGTGAGGCGAGGACGTGGCACAGACTTATGTCAATTCAGCGTCTCTCCTATATAATTGAATTGTCCAATGCACACAGCGGCAACGTGGCGCTGGCGGTCGCCATCGCGCCCTTGCCACGTCTTCTTCCAGTCTCTTGTGGCGTACAAGAACAGACACGTCCGTTGCACGACACTTGTTGCTTACTTAAAACTTTTTAAAAATGCGAGACGATATTGAATTTAACATTCAATTTTGCGAGGAAATTGAAAAATATCCATGATTGTACGACTACAGTCGTTCAGATTATTGTAATAGGAGTGCTCAGGACCAAGCGTGGCAGAAAATCGCAAAAAAATTTGGTGTTCAAGGTAAGTTTTAGTCTTTATTACTATTTATACACAATACCTATCCTGATATGGAATTGGGGCACATTCTGATAAATACATGGTTAGGTACTCTCTGATATTTTTTGCATTTGAGTGGGTCAGGGGTGGTAATTGCAAAATGGAATCACGGTGAATCACATTGTCGTATTGGGGCGTTGTGAATGTACCATTGCATTCTTTTATGGCGTTATGCAAAACACACATTGCTTGAACGAGTATATCAACTTTATCAGGCGTACATCGTATGGGTGTGTTTAGAACTGCAAATTTAGCAGCCAGCATTCCAAAAGAGCATTCCACAGACTTTCTTCCTCTGGACAATCTGGTATTAAAAATCCTTCTATTGTTAGTGGTTAATTCTCTACGGGAAAAAGGCTTCATTATGTTTTTCTTTAAGGGGAACGCTTCATCAGCTGTAAAATAAAACGGAATCTGCTTGACATCTCCAGGTATGGGACGAGGTTGAGGTAAATCAAGATTACTGGACTGTAATGCTCTGCCAAAGTTACTGTTCATTAATGCTCTTCCATCACTATTACGTCCGTACTCGCCCACATCAACTGTCACGAACATGCCATCTGCATCTGCTACTGCTAGTAAAACAGTGGAAAAAAAGCCTTTATAATTAATGTAGGCGGAACCTGATCGTGGTGGAGCTTGTATTCTGATGTGTTTACCGTCTATGCTGCCGATACAGTTAGGTAGATTCCACAATGAATGAAAACGGTCTGCAATTTGCATCCATTTCGCTGTTGTCGGTACAGGCATATATTTAGGTTGCAATTTTTCCCAAATGACTTTAGCAGTTTGATGCACTACCGCTCTGACTGTTGAATGTCCTTTTACGAAGTAATAGGACAGCGCTTTGAATGAACATCCAGATGCAAAGTATCTGAAACAAAAAAATGTATGATAATGAACTGTGAATCCTATTTTAAAAGTTTTTGTTTGTTATGAATCGTAATTATTTATGTCATGTCTCCATTGTCATTAATTTGTTTTCCTTGTTTCAGCGATAGAGTGCAAGGAGCGTTGGAAAAATGTGAGAGGACGCTATACAAAATACAAAAATCAGTCAAAACTGCCCTCTGGATCAGGTGCTAAACATATTAAAGAATACTACTTAGCTAGCCACCTTCGTTTTTTGGACTCTTTCGTGAGGTCACGTCCAAGCAAAAGCAACATTAAGTCTACACAGGAGGAAGCAAGAGATAGTGAAGAAGAAAATCAAGATGAGGATATGGATGAAAAGTTGGATGAAACCGAATCTTCTGGGAAAGATATACCAAGTACAAAAATGCCTCCTCCACTCCTGGAACGGAACAGGAATAGTAGTGCCAGAAAGAAATTAAAATCATCAACTATAGATGATGTAAACCGTTCTGCCTACAAGTATTTTGAGGCAAAACAACAAATGATAGAACGGAGACAGCAGAGTACCGCTACAAGTCAGCCTGACCCCGATATGGCATTTTTGCAGAGTATTTTACCGGACATGAAGGCAATGGATGACAGACAAAAACTGTACTTCAAACGGGAAATATTGAACCTAACCGAACAAATACGATATGCGCAGCCTGATCATAAAGCGGGATCCTCAATAAATGCTCAATCAAAAAGCTCTTCAGTGAATACTTTATCAAGGGATTCCTCAATACAAACCATTGAATGCACATCACCGAAGTCAATCGAAGACGACGCCAATGGGGGAGAGCGATTCTTCAACATGCAGCAACAAATTGAACAGGAAGAGGATTACACTATGGAGAGGTACCTGAGTTTTCTCCCAAAATATGGTTCACATCCACAGAAATGAAGACAAAAATATGTTTTCTGTTTTTGAAATTTGTGAATAAATTTATTACTAAATTAATTCATTCAGTTACTTACCTTAAAGTAATCAGTAGTCTCTCTTCTGGGCAAATTGGTTCCCTAAAATTGGTTGATCTCTTTTCAAGGCCTTCTTTTACAAGTGCCAATACATTATAAAAACACTCACGGGACATCCTATAAAAATTCTGGAATCGTTCTGGGTATGTGTTCAGTTCACGCATAACGTCGAATGTTCCACACGTTTTCCCCTTCTTTAGCCACAATGGATGCACCCAAAATCGTCTGGTTTTCTGCATATTACCCAAGTAAACCAGATCCAACATATCTTCATCATCTTCATCACTGCTTGAGAAATCCATTCGTTTGTGGCCCTTAAACTTCACCTCGATGTTCCAGCGAATGTTCGAAATCTTTCGTTTTCGTGACTATCCCGCTCCTTCTGTGTGCATTGGCTCACGTCACGTCTCCGCAACGTCTGTGCCATGTCCTTGCCACGTCCTCGCCACCGTCCCCCCAGTGTGAATTGGGGCTAAGACTCACCCGTCCACGTTTGAATTCTCCATACCAACGGGAAATTGTCGACTAATGTGGCGCTTCGTTGCCGAAAACAGACAGTAACTCAGCAAGGCATTCTTGTTGCGATAATTGTCTCTGAAAGTTGTATCAAATTATGGCGCGAAAATGTTCTCGGGTGAGTTTCATTTTTCTAATGACTTGGTGACACTTAAGAATTCACTGTAGTGATAACACTGCACGTATTGTTGTGAAACTTTGAATTTAAGTTTACTAAAGAGTGAGGTTAAGATTCAGTACTGACGTTCGATCCGCGCGGCCTACTATGTTTCTATATGCAAAACTTAAAAGACATCCCTCGTAGCATGTAACAGAGATGGAACGACTTTATTTACCTTGTCAGTGGTGCACCTTATATATTCAATCATTTTCATATTTTTTTTCGAACCATATACCCACATAACTAATTACATTTTGGCTTCGAACATCGGTATTCTCAACCTTAACTGCTAGTGGAGTCAGACTCTGCCTTTCAGAAAGTGTAACCACTTCCGTCTCCTCATGAGCTCATTTCAAGCCTTTGTCTCTATGCCAAAAGCCCTTGTAGGTAGTATACCTCTCTCCCTCTCTCTTTGCTACTCACTATAATCGCAAGGTCGTCAACATTCCCTATCAGGCGAATTTCTGCAACCCAAGAACCCGATCTTAGACCTCGTTCCATAATGAATTAAAGCTGCTTATTCCACTAACAGTCTGCTAATGTCACTGGCGGCATGCTGATGTACCGAGATGACGAGGTGTGCGAAGAGGTGACCAGCTACACAGCTATACCCGCACTCTAAGTAGCGAGATATTCAACAAAGTGGAGATTGATAGTAGGGAATCATACTCAGCTGAATGGTCAGACGTCCTGAACTTTATTAGATCAGGCTTGTCTCTTTAGGGATATATACATACACTAGGTGCGCAATCTATTACTTTTTTTTTTACCTATAAGTTTATGGGTTACCATGTGAGTCAAAAGTCATGTGGTATGCATAAGTGAACTGCAAAATGTATGACATTTATAGTCATGAATTCGTTTACAACACAACAACGCATTTTGGTTATCCAAACTTATTACGAAAACGGTCGAAATATAAAATAAACTTTTCGCAAACTTCGCACTAGTTTTGGCCGACATGGACGCCCTACAGAGCCTGGAATTCGTTGGATTGTTAATCGTTTTGAGGAAGCTGGTTCAGCTGAAGGTCGTAGACAAATGCTCGTCCAGCTCGTTTTCGTGAAAACATAGCCGCAGTCGGTGAAAGTGTGCCAGAAGATCCAACCACCTCGACTAGGCACCGTTCGCAACAATTGGGAATTAGTGGGACCACTTCACTCCGAATTTTACACATTGATTTACACCTCCATCCATACAAAATTCAACTAACACAAGAATTGAAGCCGGCAGACCATCAACAGCGGCGTGTTTTTGTTAATTGGATGCTTTAAAGAGAAGACGGATTTTCGGCCAAAGTCCTCTTTTCTGATGAGGCTCATTTTCACCTCAATGAGTACGTAAATAATCAAAATTGCAGATTCTGGGGGGCTGAAAATTTACAACAATATCATGAACAACCTCTCCGTCCTGAAAAAGTGACTGTTTGGTGCGGATTATGGGCTGGCGGCATCGTTGGACCATTCTTCTTTGAAGATGCCGCAGAAGAGGCCATTACCGTCAACGGGCAACGTTATCGCGGCATGTTAACAGACTACTTTGTGGCCACAATTGGGTCATATTGGTGCCGACGATCTTTGGTTTCATCAAGACGGAGTAACGGCTCACTCATCTCGCGAAACAATCGCCTTATTGCACACGAAATTTCAAGACCGCATAATTTCACGAAATTCAGATGTCAGTGGACCCCCGAGATTGTGCGATTTCACCCCTCTTGACTATTTTCTTTGAATATTTTTGAAAGGAAAAGTGTACGCGAATGGTCCCCGGATAATTCAAGACCTAATGCGCAATATTCGGACTGAAATTGCGGCCATAGATCCGATTATTCTGGGAAAAGTCATTGAATATGTTGGGATGTTGGCCTGTAAACGAAGCTGCGGTGGGCACATGACTGATGTTATTTTTCATACATAAATGGCATAAACCAGTTTTCATTTATCAATAAAAAAATTCGATTTCACCTCGTAAAAAGCGTGCTGATCTTTCAAATAGAAAAAAAAGTAATAGATGACGCACCCTGTACAATTTAAGAGGAGATACCGGAACCAGAGAAAATTCTAAAATAAGCTTCTCACTCTTCTACTATGTATTGTACGAGAAAGCAAAATTCTTGTCAAAAAAAGCTCTGTCTATACATTCGATACTCATGCTCACGTAACAGAAAATCCTATTCTCGTTTAAACATTTTAGCCTATACTAATGCAGTATTCAACAATTTTTCCCAACGGCGAAAGATTATCGTTATATAAAACGACCAATCCCCTGGTTGTATGTTGAAAACGTATCGAGAATATATCGGCAACATTTACAAGCACGAGCTTTTTTGCAGGACTCAAAATAGAGGCAAATAGGCGTGAGTAATACAGTACATTCTGGTCCGCGGGATTAATACAATACAAATCACGTACGCTGTTATTCGACCAAAGGAGATTTCGGTTGGCTATAGTTTAGTGAAAGTATACATTATGAAATTTAAAATACAGAACATCAATGATATGATATTCAACAAAGAAACGTATAGAAACTTTGATGGGCCGGATATGCAGATTGTGCAGGAAAAACTATTAAGAAAGAATATTCTTGTATCTTGATATGCTAAAAACTATCGAGTTAAGCGGTTACTTTTCAAGAATAGGAAGGTTCGCCAATTTTGTTGATTCTTACTCAAATCAAGAGATTTTGTTATTAAAAAACCATAACAAAAAATTTAGCAAAAAATGTTGATATTTACGTCGACTAAAAGCATTTCAAAATCAAGGATCGGCGCGAGGCTGGAAAACGTACCTGTGCCCGAGTCTAGACCGCGTGACGTTAGTAGCCAGACACACCTCGCTAGCTGGCCCGCTGCATTTACCATTCTCACAACAACGCCCCAGTAATCGGTTTGGACTGGTTAGAGCTGGTACGATAGATTATTGATAAATTGACCTAGACTTTTTACGCAACATTTTGCCTTCCTTGTTTGCCTGCGTCTGCTCGGTAGCGCATCAGCTGATTTCATTTTCTGTTGGAGCGGTATGATTTCGGGCAGAGACGTACTTAGCCCTTCTCGTCAACTGGAGAGTGAGTACTTATTCTTTTATTTTTTTTACTTGGTCGCCCTCGTTTCACTACACATTACCTTTGATATTTCTGAAAAGGAAAACCCCACTTTGCGGACACCCTGTATATATACTTCCACACCTAAATTTTTGCAATTCGAAAAAGCCCTGGGTCAAGTCTATTCAGGGTCAAATGGAGTAGAAACTTGACTAGGTAGGCTCACTTATGCACGTATACCGTAAACCTCCGTATCTCAAATTATACAAAATAAATCATATTTGTGCTTCGATAGCCAATGTATGGAATATATGTATAACTGTTATATCTTATCAGGTGCTTTGTATTATCGAGACCAGATGAGATTTAATTATAGTACACCCTTCACTGATACCAGGAATGCAACGGGGTTACTTCCAGAACTATTTGATGAGTTCTTTCAATTTTGGTGAAAACGTTGAAATCCGCATGATGATCCATGTCATTCAATCCCACGATGTTCTCAATTAACATCTTGTTATCCTTAATATCATCAGAGAACCTCACAATTTTTACTAGCAGACGGGGGTTGTATTTTTTCAACTCGTCGGCAGTCAACCGGCCATTTAGTTGACCATTGACAGCATTTTTAAGTTTTGCCACATCGTCATCTCCCTTGCAGTACACAGCAACCCCTTCTTTAATTTTCTTCGTGCCGCTAATGCATACACAGGGTGACTTTAAAGTTGAGTCATTAATTTTCAGATAATGATTGTAGAAGGATGATAAACCAAACTATGTGTGTAAAAATAAAAAAAAAATTAAAAAAATTTTTACCTTGTTTTATAAAGTATCCTCCCGACAAGTATTTCAGTGCGGACCTGTATTTGATCGTGAGGTCCCCTGTGAGGTCTTAAGTCACCTGATTCACGAGCCCGTTGTACTACATTAACAAAGGCACGAGGGGTTGGTTGCACTCGATTGGGAAACCGATCCGCATAAACATGTGCCATTTTTTATTTCGTTTGAGCCACGCAACAGACACTATTCACACGCGTTACCGACTGACACTGACTGTATGTATAACTGAACTGAATAAAATAATTGTAAAAACTTCGTTCCAAATTCTTTCGCTTTTTTGTTTCCGATGCGATGAACCGATAAGGCAGATTATATCCGTTGTTGCCAAACACAAGCACATGATATTATTATTGAGACAGGGCGGTACTCAAACTTCCAAAGGGCTATAACTTTGTTACTTTAATTTTACCAGAAAATGGTAAAGGAAAAAAACATTTCTTTTGATCAGATCTACTCACTGTTAAAATAAATGACTCAACTTCGAAGTCACCCTGTATTTAAACGAGAAGGAATAATCGTTTTTGACAAGACTTGTAGCACATCATCTCTATTATCTCTATCAGCTGATTTCACTAGTAAAACAGACGATTCTACATGATTCTCATTCTTTACATTTTTCTGTAATACCTGACTGTACGTGTTCGTGCTGGCAATATTTTTTACTGGAGCAATAGCACTTTTTGCCTCACTGAGCTCTTTTTGTACGTATCGGATTTGTATTCATGTAACTCCAAGGAAGACTCGAGTTCGCTAATTAATTTAGCCTGGAGATCTTTCTCTCTACTAAGACATTCGATTACTTTTCACAGTATCAACATATGCCAATTACTGTCACTATTAACATCCTGCTGCGATCTATTGACGCTAGAGTTTCCTGCTTGTTTGCAGTTATCACAAAACCAGATCAAATTATCAAACTGACACAGATACTTGCAGATTAGATACTTCAACCCAACACACACAGGATGGAATGATTTCACACACAGCTTGCACTTTATTACTTTGCTGCTAACAATGAAATTATCAGCATGTATCGAACATACGTCCACATCGTCTGCCATCTCGACGAAATGTCCAAAGTCTTATTGAATTGAACTGGACGTTAACAAAAAATATTGTCAAATATAATTGTTTTCATTCATAAGCTATGTCAAAACCTATATACTTAAGAGAAAAGCTGATCTTTAGGCGTAATTTTCATCATAGACATATTAGATTTCCAAATTTGATAACTACACCTATTCACTCCACAACGTTATTCCAGCGTTCTTTCACGTACAGTGCTGCAGTGTTATACAATGCTTTGAGTCCTCAATTCAAAACCATGT